TAATAAGCACTTGTTAAATAGCTTTAAAAGTATAGATGACAGCTCAGGAGACTTCTGCAAGACTATAATATGTATGTTGTCTGGACCACAGGCTGTAGAAAAATCTAAGCAGGAAATCATTATAGATACAGAAACTGGAGCAATACAAATGTCAAGCAATGGATCATACTGTTTGTCAGCTATATCAGGTAGAATGCAACTAGTGAAATCAAGAGATGATAGTAATGAAAAGTTCTTAGCAAACAATTTAGCTTTGTTTTTAGGTGAGGTGATAAAATCTGAGGTGGAACAATAGATTTTCCCTTATTATAGATACGTTTAAAAATTCTTCAGAAGTCACAGGAGCCTCATATTTGAGATGAAATACAAGATTTCATGACCTGAGAATAACAGGTTCGGCATTAAAAAAAACTTTTTTACAATGGTTAATAGTAATAGTAAACAGACATCAGTTTTCTGGAGAATTGTTTTGCTGATAAATATGAAAGTAATGGTTACAATTGGAAATTGCAGCAGCGCAATTCAAGAAAAACCATGGCGAAGATTGAGGCTTGACTTAAAATTGTTGAGAGGAAATACAAGATTCCATGCCAGCCTGAATCAAAAAAGTTAGTTAAAAGAAGCACATTTTTCAGCAGGAAGACAAAAGATTTCTACCCGAGGGCCATCACAAAGAAAATGTATAAACAAAATATCCAATGTCAAATGTTATCATTAGACAAACTTAACCCACCACAATTGATCTCTCTGACATATTCCCCAAAATGGTCAAAACAAAATAATGTACCTTTAACTGGTGAATTGTCTATAACAACAATGTAAATCAAAAACACTTTAATTTACATTGCAAGCAAACTGCTCATAATAAAAAGAAGATTATTAAAACAATTAATAAAGCATCATTATTTAGTTTGTATTAGATAACCAAATTTTTCAAACAAATGGATTGACAAAACTTCTAAACAGCAATGTTACTAATATTCAAAAAAATTTTGTTTTTAATATTCAAAAAAATTTTGTCAAACTGAAAATATTTGTTGAACATTTATGAAATAGGTATTACCCAATTCTTGTCAAGGTTTTCCAAACACTTTCTTGATAGGATCACTGGTAAAATGTCTGAGACAAACATACTTATTACTTGTGATTAATGTTTTACTAGTTTACCATTCCACAACATGTATTAAAAAAAACATGAAAAGTAACTTTGGTTAAATTTTTAATTCTTTTGCTTTGTTTTTTAGAAGCCATTTTTTCAACTATATCAATCAAGTTTAAAAGAAAGTTGAATAGCTCATCTTTTTTTGATAAAAAACAACTAGATTTTCACCTCTAGTACAAATATCTTAGTAAGTTCCTTTAACAATACCAATTTTAAAAAAGTTCATAAAGTTAGATTAAAAAACAGTCATCAACATTTTTTATGAGGTTATAAAGGAACTACTGTCTCTTCACAAAATTCTCTTAAACAAATTGACACATTTTGACATTCAATTGGTTCAGGAAAATTTGCAGTTTCATTAAGTAGACATATTTACGATAGCATCTTTTTTAAATAGGAAAAGATTTTAAAGATCTGACCTTCAAAAAATACCTTCATAAATAAAAAATTGTTCTTTGCATTTTTCTTTGAGCCAGTTATTGTAAACAGATTTTGTTAGATGAAATCATATAGAAGAAAAATGTTATCATTAGTGCACCAAGCCTTACAAAGATCAAATATTTCAATAAACTTTTGACTTTGTTATTTTTACAAAGAACAGTAACAACCAAGTCATCACAGTTTTTTTATAGTTTCAAACAATTGCATTGTTTAACCATATTGAAAATTTACCATCTAAAACTTTACTAGTAATGCCTAGTAAAAAAAACTGTTTTCCGACAAACAAAGAACAAATTATTAAACCCAACCCTTTTTGCTAACTCATTTGGGTAGTTAACAGATTTACCAAAAATCCTACATCATTGATGTTAACTGTGGTTTAAAATAAGTTAACATAAATTTTATTAATTAATATAATGACTTGTGTTTGTTAAAATGCCCAAACCAAAAAAAAAAATATTTTTTATTTTTGAATTAAAACATCCAGGTTGCTCAACGCCTTGGCAGATTAAGGATGTAAACAGTTTTTATAAACATTTGATATTATAAAAACAAGAAAAGATATAGTTTTAGACATGATTTACTGAGAAACTGATTTGAATTTACAAAAGAAAATAGAGATGTTGAATTACAACGATCTTTACAAATAAAAGTTTTTAGGCCATCTAGAATGTTATCTTGAGGTATAGCACTTATCCATATTTTTTGTTCATCCAAATTTTATTAACTTGGAAGTATATGTGTATATATATATATATATATATATATATATATATATATATATATATATATATACACGCACACATACACATATACGCACACGCACACACAAATGTATATACACACATATATTTATATATTCCAACCCTCGGAATTAGGGTTGACATTCAGCAATACACTTTATGGTCAAACCTTTGTTTTACATTTTTTTTACAAAAGAATTTGTCTAATGTGCAAAATGTTTGATGCAATTTTATGCTGTCTGCTAAAACAAACATAAATCATAACTTTATTCTAAGAATTAAATAAAAAAACACATTGTGCAAGAATTGGAACATTTATGAGCACTGTGCCTTTTGTTTGATAAATGCAGTATACATAAAACTTATGTAACTTGCAAATAAATTTTTTGTTTTTTGGGCAACACTTTCTAATGTTTTTAAAGTCAAAGAGTTTTAACTCATAAATTTATTTTTACACTTAAACATTGTTTGAAAACACCATATACACATCAATGCATCTGATACCATCTGATATACACATCAATGTATCTGATACCATCTGATATACACATCAATGCATCTGATACCATCTGATACTATAAATTTTATAATGCTTTAATTTTATTATGTAAAGTATAAAGTTTTACTACATTTTTTATCTCTAAATGTGTTAAAATTTTGTAAAACATTTTAAACTTTGGATTTATTTTTAGATAAGAGGCATGTATTTATTTTTAATAGGAGGCAGACTTGTAGTTTAGGTAGTAGTTTTCTTGGTACACAAAGTGTTAGTTGCGGGTCTAATGAAAAGACTTTGGTAGGATAAAAATCTATACAACATATTTTATATAAAATTGCTCTGCATTGTTGCATTTAATATATAATAACTATGACAATAGTCTCCCTTGTTCCTCCCTAAAAGATACTATTAAGAGTGTTTAATTGTCTAGATAACTTATATTGAAATTTTAATGCTCTGTAATTCTATTTGAAATGACTTATTCAACATTTGCTTATTAATGTTTATTGTTCTTAGTAATGTTTATTTTATCTGTCACTTTTATTTAAATCTTTTATTTAAATCTTTTTAACATAAACTTTTGTTTTTTTTTGCATCCAATAAAGTAACTAAATTTTGCTTCTTGATTTTAATTTTTTTTTTAATCTTTTGAATTTAAAATTTATGGCATATTTCCAATTATAACATTACTACTTGAAAATAATACTGAAATAAGGTTTCAGATGAACACCATTTTTATTTGTAGATGTTATTTACTTTTTCTACCTACAATATTTATGTCTTAAATATTTATATTAATGTCTTAAATATTTATATCAATCTCTTAAATATTCAGTTGAAAATAAATTCTAATGTAAACTATATATTTATTTGAAAATTGAACATTAAAAAGATCAAAAAACACAAACTTGCCTTGAACAAATAGGTGTTACACAATCTTCACCAGAATATCCTTCAAAACAATCACACTGATTAGGTCTAAAATTGGATAAAAACAAATATAATTAGAAAAAAATGATTTAGATTTTAAAATCTAAATAAATATCAGATTTTTTTTCATTATTTAGAGCTGTAGCATTTTTAAAAAACGTTTATTATTGTAACTACATTAATTTTATTTGTTTTCTTTAAATCAAAATAAGTTAATTAAAACAAAAAAAATTGTTTAAAACTTACGCTGTACAAACTCCTTGCTTGCATCCAGCATGACAAACAGGAAATTGACAATTTACACCTGACCACAAAATTTGTCCAGCAGCATCCATATTACAACTAACAATAAAAAATGAAATATAAAAAAATGTTATATTAGAAAATTTAGTATATATGACATAGAAGTAGAATTACTTATAGACTACTTTTGTTTAAACTGATAAGAATCCTGATGGATAACTAATCACTAAGAAGGTATTTATTACTTTTTCATATTTTTTACATGTTTCATATTGTTTACATGTCAAAGTTTATAATCAGAACTTATTTAATGTTAACAAATCATAAATGTAGAAAAAATTTCTTATATGTACCAAATTAAGTTACACTTACTACTAAAAAATTTAAACACAATTTTTTTTTTGTCAAGTTTTTTAAAAACTCAACTGAAATTTTATATAGAATTTTAAATAGATCAACAGCTTTTAAAAGATATGACTCCAAAACACAAACCTTTAAAAAATAAGCTGTTCCAAAAAATAAATGCTACTAAAACCACTATATAATCCTATTATAAATCGTTAGGAAAAAATATACAATATCAAAAACTATAATTTAAGAAATACAACCAAATTGCTATTTAAACTGTAGAAGTACAGTTTATGTAATTGTGCTTTTTCTATGCTACATTGGAAGCCCTTTAGACATTATAAGATAAAGCAATTGCATACTTTGTTATTTAAAGTGCCAGGTACTATTCCTATTTTAAATAATTATAACTTTAATTTATTAACATTTACAAGTAATAATTTACTACACATGTAAATACATATGTTATTACTTGTACTAATGTTACTACAAAATATTAAAAAAATTAAAAGATTTTACACTATATAAAGCTAAAATATCTTTAACCACCTAGTTATTATGGTAATCACTGAAATAGTTTCAAATAATAGTTAAAAAATAAAAAACTGTTACATCACCAACAAACTGTGCTTATTTTTTCAAATATTTAGTTGTTTTATTAGTGATGCAAAACTTTTGATACTTTTGATTCAAAATTTACCAGAAAATTTTCTGGTAAATTTTAAATCTGACATTTTTTTTAAATTAAAACTTTTACCAAGAGAAAAAATATGGGGAACTCTTGCTTATTGAGACGAGCTTATGCTTATGTGAAACTTTTGTGATTTGAGCATATAACCGTTGTCAAAAATGACTTAGTATTAATAGAAAAATATAGAACCTAGTATTTGATCAATCAGCCATTATTGACTCAACATCAATAGATTTTGTTGTATTGTGGATATACAAAAGAATTAAGTTCACCTCATTGAAGGGCATTAACTAAAAATTCAGGGGCACCAATGGAAGATTAACAAATGAGACCTTAATGTATTGACCAAGGATCAAAAAAGTTATTTTCATTTTAACCTTTTTGACAAAGAATCAAAAAGGTTATTTTTTTTTTTTAGGTTGTAGAGTTTAACCTTCTACCAATTTTTTTTTTAAGTTTTTAAACTAAAAAATGTTTTTTAAATTAATTAAAACCTTTTGAGAAATTATAACAATATTTTACTAGAATCTCAATAACAATGAATTTTACTAGGACCTCAATGACAATGAATTTTAATAGAATCTTAATGACAATGAATTTTACTAGAACCTTGGAAACAATGAATTTTAATAGAATCTTAATGACAATGAATTTTACTAGAACCTCGGAAATAATGAATTTTACTAGAACCTTAATAACAATAAATTTTACTAGGACCTCAACTAAAACCTTTTTATCTAAATACATTAATTAATAAAGACTATTTTATTTTTCTTTAAATACAAGATGACTTTGTTTCATGTTGCAAGTTTTGAAAAAGCTTATAGCTTGAAATGTTTGTTCTACAGATTATATGCTATCTGGTGTCATTTACACTTACATTGAATTTTCTCATTAAACAGACTTTATCTCAAGCTGCAAAACAGACTTTATCTCAAATGGAATAAATATAAAATGGAATAGTCAGCAAATTAAACAAAAGTTTCACTTTTGTTTAATTTGCTGACTATTCTATTTTACACATATTTAAACATGTGATTTAATAGCTATATTACATGTGATAAAATAAAGAGCATTTCTATTTCTGTAGGCCATTTTTTATTTTTCTTTGTTTTTACAATTATTGGTAAAAACAAAGGATTTTACCAATAATTGTAAAAACAATTATTGGTAAAATTCAATAAATGTTTTTACAAGTATTGAATTTTAATGGAACTTGAAAAATATACATACAATTATAATTTTCTTTAAAAAACAATTATAACAAAAATATTTTTTTCATGAATCTGTAACTTTTTGGAAATCTTTACAAATATATAAAATATTATTTAAAAAAAGTAAACTACTAAAACTTATATTTTCTGAGGAATTCTAAAACTTCAGTTTTTCTAGTAATTTTTTAAAAGTAAATTGGAGATCGCTAGTTTTATTACAAAAATAGTAGACAAAACTTAGTTTTTGTGCATCATCTTTTGCCCTAAAGCTATTAATACATTTTAAATGATATATATTTTATTCAAAAATCAACATTGTCTTGATTAAAATTATCTTTACCAGTATTGCTTTTATCAAAACCATCATGTTATTGATTCAATATACACATTTTCTGTATGATCCTTCTTTAAAAACTTTTCTTGTTCATAGATTAGCATTTTCTTCTGTTTTTATATCTTTTAGATTCATACAGTTTACCGTTTTTATATTTTTAAGCAACTGTTTTGCTGTTCTTTAACTCTCTTCTGTATTTTCCAGATCTCAAATTGTATACACACATATAAATATGTGTGTGTTTGTGTGTCTTTGTGTGTTATATATATATATATATATATATATATATATATATATATATATATATATATATATATATATATATATATATATATATATATATATATATATATATATATATATATATATATATATTATATATATATATATATATATATATATTATATATATATATATATATATATATATATATATATATATATATATATATATATATATATATATATATATATATATATATATATATATATATATATATATATATATATATATATATGCATATACATATATATCCTTCGTAACTGGGGTCAGCATTCAGCAATGCTAACCTAACTGCCAGACATAAAGTGTTTGAGGTCAGCAAAAAATTACCAACCTCGTTTCTATGTCTTATGGTAAGACCTTTGTATCAAATACTGATGCCAAATACCAGATGCCAAATACTTACAGTATTTGGACAGATGTCCATCTGTCTAAATAATATAACTTTTCTAGCGCTCCCTTGCACTTACATAAAATATTACTTTCTTCTCATAAGACTATTACGGCCTGATAGTTTCATATAATTGGTGGAACTTTAATAGCTTCCACTACAAAACAATTGGATATTTATTTACTTATTTGTTTTTTTCTCTATTTATCCATTTATTAATGCAAGTTTTCACGTAAACACAAGAAAAAAGTTTTGTGGTTTTATTCTTGTAAACCTACTCATCCCATGTATCAAATTTATTACGGGCCTTAAGAGTTCAAATTATACAAACTAATTTTAAACTAAAAGAATCGGACAGTACTGTATAGATTAATCTAAACTAAATAAAAATAAACATAAAAAACAAATATTTTCATTCAACCATTTAAAGTAAATTAAATGTAAAATGATTAATATTTCCATTAAACCACGTTAATTAAATTTAACTATATATAAGCTAAATAAAAAATGAATAGTTGCAGCACACCATATAAACATAATTTAAATATAAACCAAATATAAAATGAATAATTTCAATAAACTGTATAAAATAAAATAAAAAATAAACTAAAAACAAAACGAGTACCATCGCTAAACAGTACAACTAGAATAAAATAAACTTAATATAAAACAAATAATTATAGTATACTGTATTAATTTATATTATATTGTATTAATTTAAACTAACTAGTAAAAGAATAACTGTAATAAAATGTAAATATTAATAAAACTAGTATCTTAAATAGACCATATAAATTGAACTAAGTAGAAACTAAATTTAAAATGAATTATTTTACTAATAACCAGATAAATTAAACTAAGTTTAAAATTACACCATTATATTTGTATTTAAACACATAAAAGTTAGTCTTAATATAAATATAAAATTAAGAATCGCATTAAAACATATTGGCTAAACAGAAATTAAACATAACACAAACAACTCTATCTAACGATATCAATATATTATTATTTTGAACTAGATCGTGAACCACATCAGATCACAGAATCCATACCATCCGTTAGACATCCATGATCCACGACTGACACTATTATGCATCACATTCACGCTCTACATTAACAACTTTTCATTATCACAACAATTAATGACATTTACTTTCCTCGACTATGGTTTATTATATCTGTTTATATTTACCACATTTAACTATGATTAATTTTCATTATTTCTCTTCTTCGAGGTTTTTTATTGTCCTTTTGTACTTTTATCTCAATCTGCTACACCCTTTTAACTTGTTATGCTTCTCTAAGGTGTTCACTGCTCAGTACATTTCTACTAGAATGCATTGCATTCAACACAAAAAGTATTTCTGAACACACAAATAAAGACATTAAATGACATATAAAACTTTAACATTAAGAACACTACAAACACAAAACACAATAACTAATACAACTTACTGAACAATGAAACAACACTTACTTAAATGTAACTTAAACAACACTTATTTCTAACTTAATCACTGAAAAATAATTCCCTTTAAAACACCACCAATAATACTTAAATTTACAATAAATACTTAAATTTCTAATACTTATGCAGGCTTGGTTGGGAAGCGGGTGCGATCGCACTCGATAACTGACCACGGAAATAATTTTTAGTTGCGAAAAACCGGCCAGATTTTTTAGTCGTTTTGAGAACATTCAAGTTTATCTATGTTTCCTTGTTTGTCCGCAAAATAAAAGTTCATTTTTTCGTAAATTTTAAAATATTTTGTTTTACGGACTTACATGGAAATGTACATAAACTTGAATGTTCGCAAACATCTTAGTGCTGAAAAATAAAAAAAGAATAATTGCAAACGCAAAAAATTTGCCAAATCTACAAACAACTAATTCTATTGGTTCAAAAAATACTAACCGATATTTCTAGAGTATTCAAAAAAAACTAACCAAATGTCCTTAGTATTCTGTTGAAATATTTTAAGAAACTGTATTGTTTGAATTTTGTTACGTTTTTGTTGAGATTTCTAGCATAAATTATTTTAAGAGTATACTATCAAACAAAATACTATTTTAATTTTTGGAGCCACATCTACAAAGCTATAAATGCTTTAAACTAATATTTGTTTACAATAATAAATGTTTTAAATTTATATTATTTAACTTGTCAACGTTTTGTAAATATATTGTATTTTATTCAAATGTAATCTTTTAAAGCAATTTGTGCTATTGATTTTGTAAACAAAAATACTTTCAATAACAACTGCGTTTTCAATGAAATTATTAATAATTGTCAAAGTTGATACAAATAATTTTAACCACTAATCCATTTTCCTCAGTGTACCCAATAACTGATTCTTTCTCCCAAGAAAGAAAAGTTTTTAAGTTTATAGAAATTGGTTTACTAACTTCAATTATTTTTGCTTCAGCCATTTTTACAAACTCGTTATACTTAAAGTTACTTTTTTCTGTTTTAAATACTAATTAAAATTATGAAGCCCACTCACTAAACATCATCAGCGGTATTGTGAAGCAGTTCCGCTTCCTTCTCACAAAGTAATTTAATGTTTTTTGTTAATTTCTATCAAGCTAATTGAATTTCTACAGTAACTCAATTTAATTATTTCATTTGTTCATATTAAATTTTAAATGTTATGAATCCAATAACACGAATCTAGTAGTATTGCAAAGGTAAAATTTACTGGTAAATTTTAAAAAATTACTGCCTGGTAATTTTTTATTAAAAAGAAAGGCAATCTTAGTTGTTGAATAAAATATATAATATTCAAAGTGTATTGAAAACTTCATTTTATCACATACGATACAGCTGTTAAAATATATACTTCGTGAAATGTACATTTTTTTAAATCAACTGAATTTTCTTTTATGCAACAAGAGATATTTTATGCATAATTAATGAGAAAAGTTTTAATGACACCAGATTATGCTGTATAAATTGTAGAATAAACATTTAAAACTAAAATCTTTTTAAATTTTGCAACATGAAAAAAAGATATCTGGTTTTTGAAAAGGATAAAATTGTTTCTATTAAAAATAATATTGAGACAAAATGGTAGGACTGCAGTTAGACTGGTGCAGTAGTTAAACCGCATAAGTGTCATTGAGTGTATGTAAAAAATGTGTAAATTTTAAAAAAGAATATAAAGCTTAAGATAAAAAATTGGTAAAACCTTATTACCTAGGATTGTTGCTTACTTTTTGATCCCCAGTCAAAACAACAGGGTCTCATTTGCCTATCTGGCATCAGCTATTTTAAAGCAGACGGCCCCTTTCTGTATGATTAATAAAAGATTTAATTTTTAGAATTTCTTTTAAAAACATCTCTTATTTGGATTTGGTGCCCCTAAAACCTCAGGACCCTGATTCAAAATATAAGCCCTACCGTTAAACCAGGACTTATCGGATCTCTACATTTTTAATGCTCTTTAATAAGGTAAGTTCATTATTTTAGGCATTCACACCATAAAATATGAAACAGGCATTATACTTTAAGGTGTGAATGCCTAAATAATGAACTTAATAACTTAAAACTAAAATAATGTTTACATTTTTTTTTTTTATTGGAACATTGAGAGATTTTTTGTAAGGATGTATGAAGCAAATAAAAGGATGTATAAAGCAAATTGAAAGGATGTAGGATGTATGAAGCAAATTGAAAGAATTCAGGAAGCAAATGAAAAGTAAAAAAGGGCTGGTTGCTTAAATACAGGTTCTATACTTTATTTTCAACCCCCAAGTTGATTTAGAAAACACATAAGTATTTGTTTAAATACTAAAGTTTAAACACTGATTAGGTTAAAGTCGTGGAATTAACTCAATAAGTGCAAATCCCTTGAATTCTTTCCTAAAGTTTTCCTAAAAAAAATTTTTTTTTTCAAACAAAAAATTACCCTTTCAGATTTAAGGTCTGAAAGGGTATTTTTGAATCTAAACTTACCGGTTAATTTATATCAATAGAATCTAGAGTACCTTCAAAAAATTTGAAAAAAACTTTAGGGATTTTTTGTGAACCATTGATAACATGAGTTATTGTGAACCATTGATAACATGAGTTATTGTATTTTGCACATTAGTCATTTTGATAAAGTGTTTGTTTACTAAAATGTATTAAAGTGACTAACATGCAAATACAAAAATTATTCAAAAATAAACTTAGAAAAAACTAAAAAGCCTGATAAATAAAAATAAAAACAAGAAATTGCAACATTTCTGCACACAAAATTTGGATTATGAAAAAATCTGGTAAATGTTTATTTTTGTTATAAATTTTTTTTTTTATAATTTGAGTATAAAAATATATGGAAATAAGCATGTCACAATTATGTTTATAGTAACAATGGCATTTACAGTTGTGATTATATCATATCAGTTGTGATATATCATGTTACATGTCATCATAACTATAGTTTCAATCGTTACATGTCATCATCACTATAGTCTCAAGTTATGATGACATGTAACAATTGAGACTATAGTTATAATCACATGTAAAAACTGATATTATAGTTAATATGTTAAGATATAATATGTTAAGATTAAAGTTAAAATAAAAAGATTACAAACACTTATTTAATCGTTATGATAATTTTATTACTGAAAAATATGAACCTTAGAATTTAGGTTCATATTTTTCAACGCTTGTTAAAATTTTTAACAAGCGTTGAAAAACTTGATCAATTTTTATTATGTTATTTATCACTTTGTATTATTATTACAATTATTAGTACTTCTAAACAAAACCTTTGTAAATTCTTAAGTTGTTACTTTCACATAGTAAGTATAAAGTAACAAAAAAAAAAAAAAAAGGAGAACAATTGCAGTTAATTAATCTACCTGCAAACATCTTGAAGTATGCATTTACCATTTTGAAACACATTTATATCTGATGGATCAAGAACACTTCCACCACAAGTATTATTGCAATAGTATGGTGCAGGTACATATTCAATGCGATCTTCAACAACATTATCGATATAAACAGGATCTGCGTAAGGATCCAGAACCATTTTGACTTGCTTTTGATACGTATAGCTGAAAAAGCCTTGATAGGCTTTGAAGCTAAAAGTTTCAGTAATAAGAAAAAAAGTTATTATCTTTATATAAATACAAAAAGACATAGACATTTATTGATAATCCAGGTTTTGAAACAAATTTATTTTTTAAATTGTACTTTTATGCCTTATCAAATACTTAATCCACACACAGACATTATTTTTCTTTATTTTTTCCACAGGTACAACTTTCTCTTTTATTTATTTTAAAAAAACAATTCAGCATACTATTTCTAGCTATAAATTGAACTTTAGTATTGTCAAACTTTTCACAGAAAATATGTTAATTCAATTGTGAAAGAAATATAAATATTTACAATAGTAAATGTTAGTTTAAAAAAATTTTCTTTAAAAAGATAAATTATATGTTAAGCAGTATTTTTCTCAAAAATATATTTTTAAACTTTTCAATGAGACTTAAAAATGTAGTTTCTAAAATGCAAAAATCAATAAGCTGGAGCTTATAAATACAGTTAAAAGTTTGAAAACTTCTGAAATGCAAAAATCAATAAGCTGGAGCCTATAAATACAGTTAAAAGTTTGAAAACTTCTGAAATGCAAAAATCAATAAGCTGGAGCCATTAAATACAGTTAAAAGTTTGAAAACTTCTGAAATGCAAAAATTAATAAGCTGGAGCCTATAAATACAGTTAAAAGTTTGAAAACTTCTGAAATGCAAAAATCAATAAACTTGAGCCTATAAACACATTTAAAACTTTGCTGTTAGATACAAGCAGGCTTAGAAAAATCACAAAACTTTTTAAAAAAATCCAAAAAATCAAATTTTTCGATTTAAATCAATGATAATGATGAGTTTTAAAGTAACTTGATATTACTGACTTATGCTCTTTGTACATAATACAATGGCCAAACAGGCCAGAAGCATACTCAGGAGATCACTTTAATATCATTTCTAGTAACCTAATGCCTCCTGGAGGCCTTTGCCACTTGTTGCAGTTTTTAAAAAGATAATAAAAAAACAACTTAATACAATAAAAATTTAATAAAATCCTAAAAACCCTCATACAATAGAAAAGCGTTGATGGAGGCAGCCTCCATCAACACTTTTCTATTGTATGAGGGTTTTTAGGATTTTATTAAGTTTTTATTGTATTAAGTTGTTTTTTTATTATCTTTTTAAAAACTGCAACAAGTGGCAAAGGATGTAAACCAAGCTAGAGGATATGCAAAAATGAACTGAAGGGCAAGAAAGGAAGTACACTTAAATAAATGTTGTCATGAAAACAAGAAAAGAAAGTGGTATAATATACACATTATAATAAATTATTTTTTGTAATTAGTATCATTTAATTAATTCTATTTTTTCATAAATTGAATTTCAAACTGGTTTTTCCAATGGTCAATTTGATGTTACAAAGCAACCCTCAAAATCATTATCAGTTTCTGCAAAAAAAAATAATTTAGATGTATCTGTAGAAAGATCGCAGACAGAAAATATAAATAATAACGGTCCATTTAAATGGGATTTAAATAAAAATGCTGATTCTGGGTTATTGTTGTATTGTGTTGTTAGAACAAGTCAAAGTCAAAAGACCGCACTTGATAAGCAGGTTGTAAGAATAATTTTTGCAACAAATTCATCAGCTAGTCAAACATCCAGAATTCATGTTAAGACCAGGCTAGAATCGTCCAACAAGAATGAACATAATTGACTAACTCCTAAATAGAGAGATTGTAAATATTGCACTAGATGGTTGGTCAAACATTCACAAGGAACCTATCACTTGTGTTACAGTTAACTGAAACCAGTGGTGTCTATTAGGTTGACATTATTGATACATCTGAAGGTTCACATACTTCTAAATATCTTTAAAAAAATAAGCAGTTTTATCAATTAAAAAAATTGAGCTTGGGCGTCATTCAAGAAGCATAGTTACTAACGATACAGATATTGATGTAGTTATCAAAGAGACAAGTCAGATATTGATGTAGTTTCATGATGATTGGCCTACACATTTAATATATTTGTTAGCACATGAGAAATTGACAATGTTAAAAATGTTGAAAAAAATACTGTAATGGAATATGCCAATCTATAATACCCACACAAAATCCCTACAGTTAAGAAACTCAGAGGAAATTCATACCCATTTCTGGAATTTGAATTTAGCTTGGAGGTTTTAACAGACTGTTCAGTGGTGAAAATCACATCATAATAACATTGCAAGTAAAACATTAAATGCAATTTTGCAGTTATTGACTGTGGTAGCTTCATGAGTTGAATATGTATTTTTCTCTTATGATTTGGTACATTCAAAACTGAGAAACAGAGGCTAAAAAAAAAGCTACTAAGCTTTTATTTTTCTTCAAGGCAATGTATCAGCAGAAAATTATATAATTTGATGTCGATTATTACTACGTTCTTCTGTACACAGAAGAACTATTTCTTCGTTTTAGTTGACATTTATGTTGATTGATTAATTTTGTGCATTGTAGCTTTACCTGTAGTAACATATACTTATGGTATATTTTGATTCATTAATTCTATAAATACATTATATTATATTAATTTTATTTTGCTTTTAAATATAAAAACATTTAGATAGGAAGACATAAATTAAAAAAATTATTTTATTTACCAAACAACAACTTTTATGAAAATGTATTTAATATAATTGGATGGTGAGCTTATAATATTTTAACTAATAATATTTTAAATGATTTACAAAGTATTGTAAAAAAATGTCTACCTTCTTTTATTTTTAAACTTCTGGTCAACTTCTATGTATCCGACCAACAAGTTCAAGTCATTAAAATAGAGAGCTCGTTGTAAGGCAAGTTGACCACCTTCTGTTTTCATTTCAACTACAGTTGTTGTGTTGGTGTTTTTGATGTTATACAATGTGTGTGTATTTAAAGACTAAAAAAAAACCTTGACATCAACTTTCTCATATTTCCTGATGTTATTTTTATGCAAAGAAAAAAAAAGGTAAATTTGGTAAAAACAATTAAAAACTTACTGGCATTAAAGACCAATCCCACCATGCAATATAACCAAAACGTATTATTTGTTCCATGTATGTGATAGAATAGTAATTTGTGTTGGGCCATAACTGACTAACTCTTGCTTAATAAAAAAAATATAAATATTAATTTAACTTTGAATTTCATAAGATAAAAAATATAATATAGGTCAATCAACAACAAGAGTAAAAAAATTTTTTACTTGATCTAATTATATGAACGAAAACAAAAAAAACAATAAAAGAAAATGTAGAACAAGAAATAAGAAATTGATACTAAGTATTGTATCTGATTTGTGTTTTGTAGTTTCCCTGTTCACACCCTCATAAACTCAGGCATTAAGTATTGTATCTGATTTGTATTTTGCATTTTCTTCTATCACTATGATACATAAACCTCACACATTTTTATGATAAAGGAGATAATATCTTAACTGTTTTAACTATTCTAAATCAAGTTGTGACAAAAGGCAACTTAAGCCAGGTTGGAAAGGTAAAGATAAGAATAATAACATTTCTGATTCTGCTAATTATCTTCCAATCACTCTTGTTTTAATTTTTATCCTAAATTTTATAATTTTTATCCTAAACACATTTTAGTATGACATGTTAACAAAAGCTTTCTTTAGACAAATCATAGCACTTTTATGGTTTCTTATCTTTAATGAGTTTTTAAGCTTTCACATGCCTGTGAATTTAACTTATTTACACCTTTGGAGCTTCAACTCTACATTTATATATTGTCTGGTATGCTAGTCAAACAACTCAAGTCTTATGGTCTGAATTTTATCTTAAGCATTTATTGTTAGCATTACTTTCTACTCTGCTTATTTTATATATATATATATATATATATATATATATATATATATATATATATATATATATATATATATATATATATATATATATATATATATATATATATATATATATATATATATATATATATATATACATATATATATATATATAATAAGCAGAACTTTCACATTTAGCAAATAATTATGTTTACAAATACACGCCGTCTGAAGGTTGTCTGAGAAAATATAAAATAATAAAAAGACTCAGGAAGAATGAAAACATCGTAATAACAAGACCAGACAAAGGGAATGGTATAATTGTTCTAAATAAAGTTGACTTTATAAATTCTCTTAATAATATTATAAGTGATAAAACTAAATTTAAAGAATTAAAAGATGATCCAACTATAAAAAGAGAAGTATCTTTACAAGGGTATCCTAGAAAACTTAAAAAACTTAAATGTTTTGAAAAAGACATTTACAATAAAATTTATCCTGTTGGTTCACAAACAGCAAGAACTTATGCTCTACCTAAGATCAATAAAAGTAAAGATTCTTCTCTACCATCTTTTAAGTAATTAAGTAATAACTTTTAAGTAGCTAGTAAAGATTCTTCTCTACCATCTTTTCGACCAATTATTTCAACAATTGGCACATATAATTATAAACTTGTTAAACATCTTTCAAATTTATTATCTCCATATTTACCAAAACATTATACCACTTTTGACTCATTTTCATTTGTTGAAGATTTAAAACATGTTGATGTAACTAACAAATTTATAGTTTCTTATGATGTTGAAAGCTTATTTACTAACATTCCACTTAATGAAACTATAAATACAGCAACAGAATTGTTTTTTAAAGATGAAACTCGCTCAAAATACTTTTCTAAAACTCATTTCAAAAAATTACTTCAAATTTCAACGTCAGGTTCTCATTTCTTATTTAACGGAAAATTTTATGATCAATTAGATGGCGTTGCAATGGGTTCTCCTTTAGCACCAATTTTAGCTAATATGTTTATCGGTTTTCATGAACAAACATGGGTTAATAATTGCTCATCCTCCATACCGATTTTTTAAAAACGTTATGTGGATGACATAATAGCAATTTTTAATTCAGAGTTTGAAGCGCAAGAATTCATTAAACATCTCAATAAGCAACACAAAAACTTAAGATTTACTATGGAAAAAGAAAAAGACAACCAAATTCCATTTTTGGATGTTCTTAATTATAAATTAATAAGTCTAATTCACTCTCTACATCAGTTTATCACAAAAAAACATACACGGGTCTTTTACAAAATTTCTTTAGTTTTGTCCCTTCATGTTATAAAACTGGTCTTAGATGTTGCTTGATTGATCGAACATATAAAATTAACAACACGTGGTTTGGATTTGATAAATTTTTATCAAATCATTAAAAATTTTCTCACAATTACATGGTCTTAGTTAATATTTATTTTATATTTAAATGTAATAAAAGTTAGAAGCTTACCAACATAGTTAATCCTTTCTCCTGTTTCAGGATCTAATGTAACTTGACCTGTCAAGCCATGAAAGTCTGTCTAAAAATTACAATACTAATATATACTAGCCATAAGTGAACTTGTAAATAGTATGTACTTATGTATCTAGGCTTTCCTTAAAGTGCCTGTGGTCGCACACCTTATACTTCTACGATTAAAGAATTTTTTTAGACAACTTGACAACGTTTTCATATAGTAAGCGTTTTAAGAATTCGCCGCAAAATAAATCTATAAGAAACTAGAGAATAAATCAGCAATACTCATAGAAGAGAATCAAAGACTATACAAAATAGAAAATCTAAATAAAATAAGCTAAAAAAAATTATTTATAAAAAAAGAAAATTGTTGTCAAAAAAATAATATACTCAAATATTTACTGTTTTTGTTTTCTTATTTTTACAGTGTTTGTTATTTTCCACTACCAAAATTGATACAAATTGGGGAAAAAAAGTAGATAATAATAATAATAATAATAATTATAATATATTGATGTTGAAACAGAGATAATGTATCCCTGCAAAACCACTAGGTTATTGCAACCGTTACTATAAATATAACCAGACAAACAAAGCTGTTTCTTTAGTACGACAACCAAAAAACACCAAACAAGCGTTTAATTGTTAACATCGCTGGCTACAATGCCATTGTGAATGTAAATATTAGTAATCATATTTGGACAATAAAACAGCCTTAAATGAGTTAAATGATATTGCATTAGCATCTTTGATTTTTAAGGTATTTCACAATTTTGTAGCTCTGTTTGTAAAAAAACTAAATTTTGCTGAACAATTTTTTATTAGTTCAATATTCAATTTATGCCCTTACCTATGTGTCTAAATCCCAGGTTTATCAATAACTGGAAATGTAAAATTTGACCATCGAATTTTCTTATACTCATGAACAATTTTATACATTCGGATTTAGTCTCTACTCTGTTGGCTTATATCCAAACTGGTTAAATTCTAAGGCGTTCTTCGTACGATAAATTATTTTATTCTGAAGGGATTTTTGTTTCTTCGGGTTGAATTCTTTCCAGCCTTTCTATATCTCCTGTCAGTTAGGGACACCATAATACACTTGCTTATTCTAAATATGGTTGTATAAATGATTTATGCAAAATTTCTATCATTTGTACTAAATGCTCTTTTCATCAGACCAATTATGTTAATTAATTTTGTTAATTATGTTAATTAAATCAGACAATTATATTAACCAAAACAAAAATATATTTTGATTTACAATTTTTTTGCAACTTTTTTCAAAATACTTTATAAATTGCGCTAGAAACACAGACAGTTTTTAAATTTGTTTTTCAAATGTCTTTGCTAAACTTTACTGTTTTTATCAATAGACAGGAAAGCAAGAAAACTAATTGCTACTTACTTGCAAAAAGAAAAAAATTCTTAACAAGTTTTATGTGAAAAAATTAAACAATGCTTCAAAAATTTGTGGGCTAGTACATTGTTAATTTACTGAACTTTCTTATCGAAATTTTTAAGAGCCTATTTAAAACTTTTTTTGGAAGTTTTTAAATACATTTTTTTAAACAGAGAAATCATTAAGTTTATTATCTCAAGTAATTTGTATTAACATTGGAAATTAGGCAATGTAAAAGAAACAATTTCATACGTGTATCAAATGCAGTTAATACATTTATTTAAGAAGTTATTCTTTTATTTAACTTATTCTGTCAATAACAAATTTTATTAATCAAATATTATTTTTTCAAATTAATAACAATTTATTTTCTTATATTCCTATTATATAAGTATTTAGAAAAAGCATCAAATATAGCAAAAACAATTTTAAAAGCAAAAGACATAAAAGTGAATAAAGGTAATAAACGTAAGAAAAAAAATTAATTTAGTTTAAAAAAATTAATTTAGTTAAAAAAATTAAGTTTCTTAATTATATGGACTGATAAAAATCATAATTAAATTGCATATCAAAACTTTCAATTGTTGCTAAATTGTTATAAAAGAATTTTTTTCATCAACGACTATAAAAAAAAGGAATAAAAAAGTTGTATAAAAATTTTCTGAAAATTTTTTTTTTAATTTATTTATTTTTTAATTAATAAATTTTCTAGTTTATTTTATTAAACTTAATATTTTGTTACAATTTTGTTTCCTTATATAAGAATTGTTTTTTCTTCTTAGTAAATAAGTTTAGCTTGGTGCCGCAAATCATTAAAACGTTTTATAAGTTAAAAGATGCAAACTGCCGTGGTCAGTTAGTCTAAAACAATTACTTTAAATGTAGACAAACAAGGTGTAAGACTGCACACGCTTCCCTGGAAGGCTTGGTATGTATGTATGTATTTATGCAAGTATGTATACTTTTTATGTAAGTATGAAACTTATTTGGATAATATTAAAGATCCTTTATATATTTAAGGATTGATTGGGACTTCTAAAATATTATTTTATTCAAAAATTTGTTAAATCCAGTGTTATTTTATTATATACAGATGTAGAACAAGCCTAGGGCTGGATGAAAGGTCCTTTTTTTTCAAAAAAAAGCACCTTTTATCCCACTCCTAATATATATATATATATATATATATATATATATATATATATATATATATATATATATATATATATATATATATATATATATATATATATATATATATATATATATATATATATATATACATATATATATATATATGTATATGTATATATATATATATATATGTATATGTGTATATATATATATATATATATGTATATGTATATATATATATATATATATATATATATATATATATATATATATATATATATATATATATATATACGCACACATTGGTGATAACTCTGTTGGAAAATCTGAAAGAACTGGAAAGAGCTGTTTTTGAAAAACATGGTAGAAAAACTGGAAAATGTATGTTTTGAACATCATGGAATCAATAAAAAAAGGACATTTTTCTGTTTTTCCAGTATGTTTTTCAAAAACCGCCCTTTCCAGTTTTTCTTATATATAACTATAGTATCTATTACAGGGATAAATTTTAATATAAAATACTTATGGGGACATTAGTGTTAACGGGGACATTTTTGTGTACCCATAAATCTTTTGTCCTTGTGAGCAACGTTTTTTTGTAAAAAAAATGTCTCAAAGAGTAACTTTTATACAAAGTGAAAAGTGCATACGTTTTATCTTACAGCCTATATACATTATGTATGTTATACATATGTCATATATATATGTCATATATATATATATATATATATATATATATATATATATATATATATATATATATATATATATATATATATATATACATATATATATATCATATATATATATATATATATATATATATATATATATATATATATATATATATATATATACATATACATATATATATATCATATATATATATATATATATATATATATATATATATATATATATATATATATATATATATATATATATATATATATATATACATATATATATATATATATATATATATATATATATATATATATTATATATATATATATATATATATATATATATATATATATATATATATATATATATATATATATATATATATATATATATATAATAGATACAAAAATAAAAAATAAAATAAAAATAAGATATATGAAAAAAAAGTAGTTTACAAGAATAAAATAAAATTTCCCTATAAAAAAATTTAAAATAGGTTTTTCTTTTATTTATTTACATCTTTAAAATGTTTCTAAGTCATTATTCAGTAAAACTATTAATAATTAAAAAAGGTTTGTATTTGTAAACTATTAAAACACTTACATTTTTAAGAATTTCAGTTGATAAAGTTTCTCCATTAATTGTAAGATTGGATGCTATTAATCTTTCCATTGCTAAAATTTTTGTTGAAAGACAATCTCGAGCAAGAGCAAAAATTGATCCAAACTGAAGAAAAAAAGTCTCAAAAGCAAAATTTATGAAAAAATTTTACATGCATTATTTATTAAAAAACAAATGAATCAATATTGCATGCTACTTTAACGCAACTTGTTTCTTATAATCTATGATTTAATAGATTATTAGAAACAACACTATAAATATTTTTAATCAAAAATCAAATAATATATCTATTTTAAAAATTTAATTGCAAATAATATTTAAAATTTAACATTTATTTAAACAAATTTATTTCACTTATCACTAATTGGTGTTTTAATCATAGAACATGAGTTAGTGGAAATTCCTATTTATTTAATTTAAAATAAATTCTATTACTATTTAATAAGAATCTCCTTCCACAACACAATTTTTTTAAACATTAAAAACAAAAATCTTTTTACTTAACTTGATATATCTTTGTTACATAGCATAATACTGATTTTTAAAATTCGTTAAATTGCTTTTTGTTTTTAAAAAGAAATTATATTTTAGGAGAGAAAGAGAACAAGAGAGTCAAACTTCATAAGTACTCACTGTCTTCAACATCTCCTCCTTATATAATGATTTTAAAATTTTTGAAAGTACATTCATACTGTTTTTTGAAATACTTCCTTTAAAAAATTCTGGAAGCAATAAAATACTCTTTATCATCAAAAGCCATCAAGCACATAACAACTATTCTTATGACAAACAAAAAACCATCAAGCACATAACAACTATTCTTATGACAAACAAAAAACCATCAAGCACATAACAACTATTCTTATGACAAACAAAAAACCATCAAGCACATAACAACTATTCTTATGACAAACAAAAAACCATCAAGCACATAACAACTATTCTTATGACAAACAAAAAACCATCAAGCACATAACAACTATTCTTATGACAAACAAAAAACCATCAAGCACATAACAACTATTCTTATGACAAACGAAAAGCCATCAAGCACATAACAACTATTCTTATGACAAATAAAAAGTCATAAAGCACATAACAACTATTCTTATGACAAACAAAAAACCATCAAGCACATAACAACTATTCTTATGACAAACAAAAAGCCATCAAGCACATAACAACTATTCTTATGACAAACAAAAAACCATCAAGCACATAACAACTATTCTTATGACAAACGAAAAGCCATCAAGCACATAACAACTATTCTTATGACAAATAAAAAGTCATAAAGCACATAACAACTATTCTTATGACAAACAAAAAACCATCAAGCACATAACAACTATTCTTATGACAAACAAAAAACCATCAAGCACATAACAACTATTCTTATGACAAACAAAAAACCATCAAGCACATAACAACTATTCTTATGACAAACGAAAAGCCATCAAGCACATAACAACTATTCTTATGACAAATAAAAAGTCATAAAGCACATAACAACTATTCTTATGACAAACAAAAAACCATCAAGCACATAACAACTATTCTTATGACAAACAAAAAGCCATCAAGCACATAACAACTATTCTTATGACAAACAAAAAACCATCAAGCACATAACAACTATTCTTATGACAAACAAAAAACCATCAAGCACATAACAACTATTCTTATGACAAACAAAAAACCATCAAGCACATAACAACTATTCTTATGACAAACAAAAAACCATCAAGCACATAACAACTATTCTTATGACAAACAAAAAACCATCAAGCACATAACAACTATTCTTATGACAAACAAAAAACCATCAAGCACATAACAACTATTCTTATGACAAACAAAAAACCATCAAGCACATAACAACTATTCTTATGACAAACGAAAAGCCATCAAGCACATAACAACTATTCTTATGACAAATAAAAAGTCATAAAGCACATAACAACTATTCTTATGACAAACAAAAAACCATCAAGCACATAACAACTATTCTTATGACAAACAAAAAGCCATCAAGCACATAACAACTATTCTTATGACAAACAAAAAACCATCAAGCACATAACAACTATTCTTATGACAAACGAAAAGCCATCAAGCACATAACAACTATTCTTATGACAAATAAAAAGTCATAAAGCACATAACAACTATTCTTATGACAAACAAAAAACCATCAAGCACATAACAACTATTCTTATGACAAACAAAAAACCATCAAGCACATAACAACTATTCTTATGACAAACAAAAAACCATCAAGCACATAACAACTATTCTTATGACAAACGAAAAGCCATCAAGCACATAACAACTATTCTTATGACAAATAAAAAGTCATAAAGCACATAACAACTATTCTTATGACAAACAAAAAACCATCAAGCACATAACAACTATTCTTATGACAAACAAAAAGCCATCAAGCACATAACAACTATTCTTATGACAAACAAAAAACCATCAAGCACATAACAACTATTCTTATGACAAACAAAAAACCATCAAGCACATAACAACTATTCTTATGACAAACAAAAAACCATCAAGCACATAACAACTATTCTTATGACAAACGAAAAACCATCAAGCACATAACAACTATTCTTATGACAAACAAAAAACCATCAAGCACATAACAACTATTCTTATGACAAACGAAAAGCCATCAAGCACATAACAACTATTCTTATGACAAATAAAAAGTCATAAAGCACATAACAACTATTCTTATGACAAACAAAAAACCATCAAGCACATAACAACTATTCTTATGACAAACAAAAAGCCATCAAGCACATAACAACTATTCTTATGACAAACAAAAAACCATCAAGCACATAACAACTATTCTTATGACAAACAAAAAACCATCAAGCACATAACAACTATTCTTATGACAAACAAAAAACCATCAAGCACATAACAACTATTCTTATGACAAACGAAAAGCCATCAAGCACATAACAACTATTCTTATGACAAATAAAAAGTCATAAAGCACATAACAACTATTCTTATGACAAACAAAAAACCATCAAGCACATAACAACTATTCTTATGACAAACAAAAAGCCATCAAGCACATAACAACTATTCTTATGACAAACAAAAAACCATCAAGCACATAACAACTATTCTTATGACAAACAAAAAGCCATCAAGCACATAACAACTATTCTTATGACAAACAAAAAGCCATCAAGCACATAACAACTATTCTTATGACAAACAAAAAACCATCAAGCACATAACAACTATTCTTATGACAAACAAAAAACCATCAAGCACATAACAACTATTCTTATGACGAACCAAAAGCCATCAAGCACATAACAACTATTCTTATGACAAACAAAAAACCATCAAGCACATAACAACTATTCTTATGACAAACAAAAAACCATCAAGCACATAACAACTATTCTTATGACAAACGAAAAGCCATCAAGCACATAACAACTATTCTTATGACAAACAAAAAACCATCAAGCACATAACAACTATTCTTATGACAAACAAAAAACCATCAAGCACATAACAACTATTCTTATGACGAACCAAAAGCCATCAAGCACATAACAACTATTCTTATGACAAACAAAAAACCATCAAGCACATAACAACTATTCTTATGACAAACAAAAAACCATCAAGCACATAACAACTATTCTTATGACGAACCAAAAGCCATCAAGCACATAACAACTATTCTTATGACAAACAAAAAACCATCAAGCACATAACAACTATTCTTATGACAAACAAAAAACCATCAAGCACATAACAACTATTCTTATGACAAACAAAAAACCATCAAGCACATAACAACTATTCTTATGACAAACAAAAAACCATCAAGCACATAACAACTATTCTTATGACAAACAAAAAACCATCAAGCACATAACAACTATTCTTATGACAAACAAAAAACCATCAAGCACATAACAACTATTCTTATGACGAACCAAAAGCCATCAAGCACATAACAACTATTCTTATGACAAACAAAAAACCATCAAGCACATAACAACTATTCTTATGACAAACAAAAAACCATCAAGCACATAACAACTATTCTTATGACAAACAAAAAACCATCAAGCACATAACAACTATTCTTATGACAAACAAAAAACCATCAAGCACATAACAACTATTCTTATGACAAACAAAAAACCATCAAGCACATAACAACTATTCTTATGACAAACAAAAAACCATCAAGCACATAACAACTATTCTTATGACGAACCAAAAGCCATCAAGCACATAACAACTATTCTTATGACAAACAAAAAACCATCAAGCACATAACAACTATTCTTATGACAAACAAAAAACCATCAAGCACATAACAACTATTCTTATGACGAACCAAAAGCCATCAAGCACATAACAACTATTCTTATGACAAACAAAAAACCATCAAGCACATAACAACTATTCTTATGACAAACAAAAAACCATCAAGCACATAACAACTATTCTTATGACAAACAAAAAACCATCAAGCACATAACAACTATTCTTATGACAAACAAAAAACCATCAAGCACATAACAACTATTCTTATGACAAACAAAAAACCATCAAGCACATAACAACTATTCTTATGACAAACAAAAAACCATCAAGCACATAACAACTATTCTTATGACGAACCAAAAGCCATCAAGCACATAACAACTATTCTTATGACAAACAAAAAACCATCAAGCACATAACAACTATTCTTATGACAAACAAAAAACCATCAAGCACATAACAACTATTCTTATGACAAACAAAAAACCATCAAGCACATAACAACTATTCTTATGACAAACAAAAAACCATCAAGCACATAACAACTATTCTTATGACAAACAAAAAACCATCAAGCACATAACAACTATTCTTATGACAAACAAAAAACCATCAAGCACATAACAACTATTCTTATGACGAACCAAAAGCCATCAAGCACATAACAACTATTCTTATGACAAACAAAAAACCATCAAGCACATAACAACTATTCTTATGACAAACAAAAAACCATCAAGCACATAACAACTATTCTTATGACAAACAAAAAACCATCAAGCACATAACAACTATTCTTATGACAAACAAAAAACCATCAAGCACATAACAACTATTCTTATGACAAACAAAAAACCATCAAGCACATAACAACTATTCTTATGACGAACCAAAAGCCATCAAGCACATAACAACTATTCTTATGACAAACAAAAAACCATCAAGCACATAACAACTATTCTTATGACAAACGAAAAGCCATCAAGCACATAACAACTATTCTTATGACAAACAAAAAACCATCAAGCACATAACAACTATTCTTATGACAAACGAAAAGCCATCAAGCACATAACAACTATTCTTATGACAAACAAAAAACCATCAAGCACATAACAACTATTCTTATGACAAACAAAAAACCATCAAGCACATAACAACTATTCTTATGACGAACCAAAAGCCATCAAGCACATAACAACTATTCTTATGACAAACAAAAAACCATCAAGCACATAACAACTATTCTTATGACAAACAAAAAACCATCAAGCACATAACAACTATTCTTATGACAAACAAAAAACCATCAAGCACATAACAACTATTCTTATGACAAACAAAAAACCATCAAGCACATAACAACTATTCTTATGACAAACAAAAAACCATCAAGCACATAACAACTATTCTTATGACGAACCAAAAGCCATCAAGCACATAACAACTATTCTTATGACAAACAAAAAACCATCAAGCACATAACAACTATTCTTATGACAAACGAAAAGCCATCAAGCACATAACAACTATTCTTATGACAAATAAAAAGTCATAAAGCACATAACAACTATTCTTATGACAAACAAAAAACCATCAAGCACATAACAACTATTCTTATGACAAACGAAAAGCCATCAAGCACATAACAACTATTCTTATGACAAACAAAAAACCATCAAGCACATAACAACTATTCTTATGACGAACCAAAAGCCATCAAGCACATAACAACTATTCTTATGACAAACAAAAAACCATCAAGCACATAACAACTATTCTTATGACAAACGAAAAGCCATCAAGCACATAACAACTATTCTTATGACAAATAAAAAGTCATAAAGCACATAACAACTATTCTTATGACAAACAAAAAACCATCAAGCACATAACAACTATTCTTATGACAAACAAAAAACCATCAAGCACATAACAACTATTCTTATGACGAACCAAAAGCCATCAAGCACATAACAACTATTCTTATGACAAACAAAAAACCATCAAGCACATAACAACTATTCTTATGACAAACGAAAAGCCATCAAGCACATAACAACTATTCTTATGACAAATAAAAAGTCATAAAGCACATAACAACTATTCTTATGACAAACAAAAAGCCATCAAGCACATAACAACTATTTTTATGACGAACAAAAAGCCATCAAGCACATAACAACTATTCTTATGACAAACAAAAAACCATCAAGCACATAACAACTATTCTTATGACAAACAAAAAACCATCAAGCACATAACAACTATTCTTATGACAAACGAAAAGCCATCAAGCACATAACAACTATTCTTATGACAAACAAAAAACCATCAAGCACATAACAACTATTCTTATGACAAACAAAAAACCATCAAGCACATAACAACTATTCTTATGACGAACCAAAAGCCATCAAGCACATAACAACTATTCTTATGACAAACAAAAAACCATCAAGCACATAACAACTATTCTTATGACAAACAAAAAACCATCAAGCACATAACAACTATTCTTATGACGAACCAAAAGCCATCAAGCACATAACAACTATTCTTATGACAAACAAAAAACCATCAAGCACATAACAACTATTCTTATGACAAACAAAAAACCATCAAGCACATAACAACTATTCTTATGACAAACAAAAAACCATCAAGCACATAACAACTATTCTTATGACAAACAAAAAACCATCAAGCACATAACAACTATTCTTATGACAAACAAAAAACCATCAAGCACATAACAACTATTCTTATGACAAACAAAAAAACCATCAAGCACATAACAACTATTCTTATGACGAACCAAAAGCCATCAAGCACATAACAACTATTCTTATGACAAACAAAAAACCATCAAGCACATAACAACTATTCTTATGACAAACAAAAAACCATCAAGCACATAACAACTATTCTTATGACAAACAAAAAACCATCAAGCACATAACAACTATTCTTATGACAAACAAAAAACCATCAAGCACATAACAACTATTCTTATGACAAACAAAAAACCATCAAGCACATAACAACTATTCTTATGACGAACCAAAAGCCATCAAGCACATAACAACTATTCTTATGACAAACAAAAAACCATCAAGCACATAACAACTATTCTTATGACAAACGAAAAGCCATCAAGCACATAACAACTATTCTTATGACAAACAAAAAACCATCAAGCACATAACAACTATTCTTATGACGAACCAAAAGCCATCAAGCACATAACAACTATTCTTATGACAAACAAAAAACCATCAAGCACATAACAACTATTCTTATGACAAACAAAAAACCATCAAGCACATAACAACTATTCTTATGACGAACCAAAAGCCATCAAGCACATAACAACTATTCTTATGACAAACAAAAAACCATCAAGCACATAACAACTATTCTTATGACAAACAAAAAACCATCAAGCACATAACAACTATTCTTATGACAAACAAAAAACCATCAAGCACATAACAACTATTCTTATGACAAACAAAAAACCATCAAGCACATAACAACTATTCTTATGACAAACAAAAAACCATCAAGCACATAACAACTATTCTTATGACGAACCAAAAGCCATCAAGCACATAACAACTATTCTTATGACAAACAAAAAACCATCAAGCACATAACAACTATTCTTATGACAAACGAAAAGCCATCAAGCACATAACAACTATTCTTATGACAAATAAAAAGTCATAAAGCACATAACAACTATTCTTATGACAAACAAAAAACCATCAAGCACATAACAACTATTCTTATGACAAACGAAAAGCCATCAAGCACATAACAACTATTCTTATGACAAACAAAAAACCATCAAGCACATAACAACTATTCTTATGACGAACCAAAAGCCATCAAGCACATAACAACTATTCTTATGACAAACAAAAAACCATCAAGCACATAACAACTATTCTTATGACAAACGAAAAGCCATCAAGCACATAACAACTATTCTTATGACAAATAAAAAGTCATAAAGCACATAACAACTATTCTTATGACAAACAAAAAACCATCAAGCACATAACAACTATTCTTATGACAAACAAAAAACCATCAAGCACATAACAACTATTCTTATGACGAACCAAAAGCCATCAAGCACATAACAACTATTCTTATGACAAACAAAAAACCATCAAGCACATAACAACTATTCTTATGACAAACGAAAAGCCATCAAGCACATAACAACTATTCTTATGACAAATAAAAAGTCATAAAGCACATAACAACTATTCTTATGACAAACAAAAAGCCATCAAGCACATAACAACTATTTTTATGACGAACAAAAAGCCATCAAGCACATAACAACTATTCTTATGACAAACAAAAAGCCATAAAGCACATAACAACTATTCTTATGATGAACAAAAAGCCATCAAGCACATAACAACTATTCTTATGACAAACAAAAAGCCATAAAGCACATAACTATACTTATGACAAACAAAGATATTGGAAATTCACACACACATGTATATATAGTCTTATTTGATTGTCTTTAAGTTTTTACCATAATATGTCAACTTTAAGTTTTTTTTTATTTTTAGGACTGGAAAAAAATTGGCATTTGAATTAGTTTTCAAAGATGAAACACCTAAAAATTATTAAAAACCACAATATGAAGTCTGTGAATTAGGATATTTTAAGAATTTCTAGGCAATATATCTTTGTTTACTAAAAGTTTTTACTAAAATTGTATTTTAGTAGCTAACTGCACAGTCCATTTGATTAATTTTAAAAGTCACACTTATCATACAAAAACCATGATCTTAGGGAACATGTGACAATACAACAATAAAAAAGAACATGTGACAATACAACAATAAAGGAATAATACAACATTTAAGGTCTATATCTTTTATATCTTCATAACCAGAGCTAATTTTGAAGATTTTTTATAGTAGACAACACAAATTTTTAGTTTATAAATATGTTTAAACTAATTAACCCATAATTTAATAACATATAGTTTAAAATAAATGTAAAAAACTTTAGGACAAAATTAAAAATTGTCAGTAAAAAACGTATCTGCTGCATTAAAAGTTCCTGCATGTCCTTGATGATTCTTGCATTTAAATGTAATAATAAAAATAATAATAGTAAAAATAATAAAAATAAAATAAATAATTAGAATAACAATAGTAAAACTACTCACACTGCCAGGATCTTCTAATGGAAAATCACGAGTTTGTCCAAGTGATTTATCAACATCCCCTTCTAACCATTTGTTCCAAATCATATTCCATTCAGGAGTATCCCATCCATCCACCAAATACATTGGGCTATTAAAAGTCATACCTTTAAACCTCAGCACACATAGACTGTTTTTCTGCAAAATATAGTACAATTTAATTTGTCTAAAAATTTTCATTAATTAAAACTTTGACAACTTGAAAAAAATTTCAAAACAAAAAATTGATTTTGCTAAATAAAAATTTACATCAATATGACAATAAGGTGGTGAGTTAGAGCTGGGAAAGTCATCTGCATTTTGATAACCAACCCATTGATAACCATCTGTACAGGTCACACTTGCTCTAAATAATTCAATTTTTAAGATTAAAAAATCTAGTTATTGGCATATGAAACTTTAGTAATCAGTATAAATTGTATTAACCTATGTAAAAAAATTTAGTAAATGGTGAATGAAACTGTAATAATCAATAGAAAGACATTTTTTAATATTAATTTTTTTAATATTGAACTTAAGATAGTGATAATAAATTGACTGAAAAGCTAGGAATAAACTTTTAAAATAAATCTCAAATACGCAGAGAAATTTTTCAGTAGAGGTGTTTTGTATTCAAAAATTTTAGAATTCAACTTGTAATTGTAGTGTGTTCAATATTTGTATGGTATTAAAGTTATATGGTGTAGAAGTAAACAAGAAGTTCCAAGTTTGAACTCTTACATGTCCCTGGTAGTACTGCGCAGCAATTTTGTTTGATAGCTCATGCTTCAGATTTAAAGAGTTAAGAGAGAAGTATCAAAAAAAAAATTAGTAGCTTCTTGAACTGTAGTGGCCTCACAGTATAAAGAAGTAGAAAAAATTACTAGCCTCTTGAACTGCAGTGGCCTCACAGTCTTAAGAAGAAGAAAAAATTAGTAGCCTTATAAACTGTAGTAGCCTAAATAATAAATTCGTTAACTCTTTGTGTATTTTTATTTTTACAAAATATACTTTTTGAATTAGTAGTTATTAGAATTAAAGTAGTTAAAAATGTTAAGTATACAAAAGTATGATAATTAAAGATCAATGTTAAGTATACAAAAGTATAATAATTGAACTTGGGTTAAGCATAAAATAAATATTACATCTTGTAAAACTTTTACGTAGTTTAATAGTCAATTTTTGATACCATTAAAATAATTTGTGCATAAGAAACTATTAAAGTGATTATGTTACGATATTGGCATTTTATTGTATAGTGTTTGTACTAATGAATTTTGTTGGTAAAAAATATCAGAGCCATGAAAGTTAAAACTAATAAAAGATTATAGGCACAAGTCTTTTATCAAACATCTCAGCTAGCACTCATACATTAGACCAATGTCAGAACAACGCCAGAAGCATTAGACAGTTTTATTAACTAAGCACTAACGCCAAACCAATGTCAGAACAATCAATAAAACTAGTTTTGCTAACTTTTGTTGTTGATATTTTTGTTTTGAATTTTAACATTTTATACAAATACTTTCTTAAATTCATAGAAACTGTCGGTAACTGTGGTTATTAATTTTTCAACAGCTTTTTAAAAAAAGCAAATCATATATGATTTGCTTTTATTACTCCTATGATGTGTGAAGTTAATTTTGTTTAATTTTTCTTTAATAGTTGTTGTTTTGTTTTTTTTAAATAAAGAAAAAGCTTATTATTTATTAATAATTATAAGTATTGTACATTAAAATCTAGATAGTATATAACACATACATTTGTGGCGGTGTATACTTAAAATTGCACTGTCATAAACCAATATGCAATATCAGAATATGACAACTATTTTAAGTTTAGCCTAGATATGTATAAACAGTTGCATAGAATCATTTTATGTTAAAACTTTGTTTTTTAATTCTATTTTTGTGTTGTAAAGTATGAGAGTCAAATTCCACAAATAAATTTTAAAATGATTTTTTTATTTTGCATCTTGATGCTGAAAATTCTGTGCCAATTGTGCCAATTTGAATTTAGAAAAATCCAACACATTACCATGACACTATATTGTTTCAGGTAACATATGTTGTAGTATATACTATTCATGTATATACCATGCTATTCAACAATTGATTATGAGTGTATCAATAATGTTTGTGTGTGTGGCATTTTTATGGTATTTTAATTTTTTTAAATATTTACTATGTTTTGGAGACAAAATTACACATTTTATGCTGTTTCAAAGGTCAATTTTTTATAGCTTCTATCTATTACAAGGATTTTATTTTATTTTATAAATTTCAAAAGACACTTACACAGAGTAGAGCCTGACACATCTGCATTAGAAGTGTCTAATAATAGCAAGAACAACAATTTCAATGATACAAATAAATCATTACTAGAAACTACAATGCCTTTAGCAAGTTCAATTTCTTATAGAGTAGCAAATGTGAGAATTTATTAATTTTTTTTACAAAAAACCTCATGTGTGTTTTGTCTTTGTTGCAAAAAAAATTAAGCTTAATCATAAATAATCCTTTAAAAAAAAATTTAATGTTATTCACCTCTCTAAGGACAAGAGGGTCACTACAGTCTTGCCTGGGTTATAACCCTCTCTCAACTCTTTAACTTCAAAACACGAATCTTTAAGAACAATGCCGCTGTGCAAAGAAACATGATGAGTAGATATAATTTTTTATTTAAAAAAACTACATCTACTCAACTTGTTTAAGAACTTTTTTATTTTAGTTCTTTATTTTTCTAATTAATTTTTATCAAGTACTAGTATTTTGTAAGTAGCTGGTAATTTGTTAATTCAAAATATACTATAGTTTATATTACTAGCATCTGTGTTGAACAATATCGCTGCAACTTTTTTGAACAAAATTGCTGCAACTCTTTTACCCTCTTTTAGTCTCCAGTTAAATAATATGCATTTACAAATAAGGCAAACAAAGGTAAGCTTTTGTTAAAGTAACAAATTATTATATACAAATACAAATTATTATTAAATGAAGCTTTTCTTTGCTGTTCTTTTTTTTTTTTGCTATATTGTTCTTGTTATATTCAGTGGTTTGTCTTAAACTTTGCTTAACAGCTGGTAAAGAGAGATATTAATAGTTAAGGCAAATGCATAACAATACAAAAATTAAATTATATGCACCTGTCACACTTTTATGATAATTTTTAATAATATTTGTATAATTAACTCTAGATTTTTAATAATATTTATATAATAAGAATTTTAAAAGATATTAATCTCTGATTTTTACAGTGAAAACCTGATACAATTGTTCAATAATTTTTTGCAATATTTAGCAATATTTAGCAAAATAAATCAAAAAAAATTTTTACTCTAGGTAAAACTTATTTTTGTTTAAACGCAACTTTTATTCATTTTAATTCAAAATTATCCAATCAAAATTTAATTTCCATAAGTTTTAACATAAAATTACATAAGGAATGTCCCTGAATTATGCAACATTAAATTTATTTAAAAAACAGATGTAGGAGACCTTGTGTACTTTTACGCTGTGATTTTCATTGAACTTAATTAGCTATTTTGATTTTTTATTGAACTTGAGGCTCTGTGAGGCAAAACCATTGATCTTTTTTGTTTGGTTTATTAGTGAAACTTAGCGTTGCATAATTTAGGAAACTGAAAAATATTTCAGTTTTTAATGAAATTGGTGTAAAAATTTTATAACTTTTTGCCAGTGTAAAAAGACATTTATTGATGTTTATACAATTATATATGTATGTATGTGTATATATATATATATATATATATATATATATATATATATATATATATATATATATATATATATATATATATATATATATATACATATATATATATACACATATATATATACATATATATATATATATATATATATATATATATATATATACATATATATATATATATATATACATATATATATATATATGTATATATATATATATATATATATATATATATATATATATATGCACATATCTATATATATATATATATATATATATATATATATATATATATATATATATATATATATATATATATATATATATATATATATATATATATATATATATATATATATATATATACATATATATATATATATATACGTATATATGTATATATATATAATTTTGTTTTTTTCACTAAAGGCTTACCGAATAGCTTCAGTGTAAATCAATACACTTGTGTCTCCTTTAGCAGGTGTAACGATAAGTCGTATACCAGATGCTTTAACAGAAGTGTACATGTCATTAAGTTTTCCATATGGCTCACTGTCCAAATCAGTAACATCTGATATGACATACTAAATTTTATCAAATTATTTATAAAGATGCCATTTACCTCTATTTGTGAAAACTTGTTGTTTCAATATATTTGTTAAATTTTGTTGTTCAAACTTATTTGTTAAACTTTTATATCATTAAAAAAAAAAAATTTTTGAAGTAAATTTATTACAAAATATTTTATATTAAACTGTCTGAAATAAAGTTAAAAAAAAAAAAGTTATTTTAAACTTTTTTTTGAGACAAATTTTTAAGTTTTTTAAGAAAGTAAGTTTATTTTAAGTAAGTTTATTATAAACAAAAGTTTATTAGAAATAAAAGTTATATAAAAAAACCAACAAATTTGATTTTAATGTTAAAATGTATTCATGTATATTAGCACAAATTTCATAAAATTTGACAAAAAAATTTCCTACATAATTTTAAAATTTATAAACAATGAACTAAGAAACCTTTGCAACAACTTCTATTCCAAGACGCAATGCCTCAATATAAAATTCTGATCGGAATGAGGTCAAAACTGATTGAATAATAATCTAATGAAATAAAAAAACTTTAGTAAAAAAAATATATATATATAAAAAATTAAAATTAAATAAAGTTAAAAAGATAACAACTAAAGTCATTATGAAAAGAAATTTTAAAAAAACATTTTTTCAAAAATTTGATTAAAAGAATCAAAACAAGAGAAAATAATTTAAAATGCTTTTGTTCATGAACCTGATTTTTATCATAAAAGTCCATACCATGAAAATGCATAACTTAAAATTTATCTTTTTTTTCATATTTAATTTATAAAAATGAATTTTAAGTTTTTATTACAGCTGTGGAAACTAGCCAACTATTTATTTAGCATGTCTATTTTAATTATTAATTTTTTTTTTTATAAAGCTTTCTCCAATTTAGTGGCTTCTTAGTCTTGGGGAGGTGAAAAACATACTATTTTTGACTCATAAAAAACATTTAGAGATTTATAACAATTTATTTAAATTATTAGCCTAAGCTAACTAAAACTCTTAGTATATATGTTCACTTCTTCAATTCTTACAAAAATTAGTTGATGTATGCATACTCCACTGCAACTATACCAGTAAATCTGTCTATATATCTATGCCTCATAAGAAGACTGCCTGTTCAAAATCTTTAGCATATACTAACTTTGAAAGGGATTGTATAACACGAAAAGTTCTTTGCAGATTCTTCTGTTTTATCGTTAAGACAGAGACCAAATATATGAATATATACTTTATACAACCCTCAGAATTAGGGTCAGCATTCAGCAATAATAACCTAATTGCTAATCTAAAAGTGTTTGAGTTTGGCAAAAAAATTGCCTCATTTCTATGTTTTATGATAAGACCTTTATATCAAATTTTTTTGGCCAATCTGATGCCAAACTTTTTTCCTAATTCTGAGGTTTTATATATATGAATATATATATATATATATATATATATATATATATATATATATATATATATATATATATATATATATATATATATATATATATATATTATATATATATATATATATATATATATATATATATATATATATATGAATATATATATGAATATATATATGTATATATATATATATATATATATATATATATATATATATATATATATATATATGAATATATATATATATGAATATATATATGTATATATATATATATATATATATATATATATATATATATATATATATATATATATATATATATATATATATGAATATATATATACTCTTGCATGTCTCTTGCATGGCATCAAAAAAAGTTTCCCATAAACTGTAGTTTTAAAGAGCGCGTTAATAAACCAGACCAGAAAAAGTTTTAAAAATTAATTTTTTTTTTTAATTGATAGATTGCCTGGCCAAACCAAACCCTCAGTCGATGTAGCAGCACTCTCTTGCGAGTCAGGCTATTTGTCAGTTGTTGTAGCAGCACTCCCTTGCAAGTCAGGCTATTTGTCAGTCGATGTAGCAGCATTCCCTTGCGAGTCAGGCTATTTGTCAGTCAATGTAGCAGCACTCCGTTGCGAGTCAGGCTATTTGTCAGTCGACGTAGCAGCACTCCGTTGCGAGTCAGGCTATTTTTCAGTCGATGTAGCAGCACTCCGTTGCGAGTCAGGCTATAAGATAGTCGATGTAGCAA